AGAGAGAGAGAGAGAGAGAGAGAGAGAGAGAGAGACAGACAGACAGACAGACAGACAGAGACATATTTTAAATATAGTCACCCTGCAGGCTTCAGCTAATTCTGGAGCACCTAATCTGCCTGTCATTATGTGGAAGGGGAAAGAGACTGATTCAACCTGTGTGACACTGGGAAAATAAAAGTGGGAAACACTATATTGCCTAGGGTCATTAGGGGCTCAGTTGTTTAGAGTTTAGGTTTCCATTGGAATTCTGGCTCTGTGGGAAGCTCGTTAGCACCACTAGTAGACCCACATGAAAAAGTTGCTAGTGCTCACTGGTGACACAGGAAGACATTTTCCCTGGACCAGGTATTAAAAGGGGGATTCTTTCTGTTCTCTACCTTCCCTCAGGGCAGCTCTACCTCTGCATCTGTCTGATACTACTTCCTCAACAACCTCTTTCCTCGACACAGAAACATTTGCTTTGTTTGTGATTATTGGGTTCAAGGGGAGCCTCTTACTGTGCAGTGCAAGGCCTTCTTTACTTTCATGGCCTCTTGGTTTCTGAGGAATCTTTTGTAGTCATGGCCCTCAGATCATATCCCACCAGTTCTCTTCCAACCCTCTCCTCATCCAGTCTTGCCACATTTGAAATTAGACAGAGCATCTCTTACCACGCCCTGAAGGCCATGTGAATGGGTGAATGGCCAGTTAGGGTGTGGGGTACGGGAATGCTTCTGACGCTGAAGAGAAAGCCTAGTGGTCCACTGTGGTTGGCTAGAGGTACAAAGCAGAAGCCATAAGTGCAGCTTCCTGGATTCTTCCAAAATATAGCAAGTTAGAAGGAGCTGTGCTTGGTTATCATTGGGTGCTTGGTCCTGTCTTCATCAGAGGCTCTAATCTGGAGTTCACAGCTTTGATAGCTGGTTGCCCAAGGAACAATGAGTGGGACAGTAGGGAGATCCCAGCACAGAGCTCCCCGAGTACCTCAACTGTTCTCCTAGAGACAGAGATGGGGTTACTTCTCAGAAACCAAGTCCAGATCCCTCCTGAAGATTTCTGGGGACTTCCCTAAGGAGGTGGAGCTTGCTCTTGCCCTGTCTGTGTAGCCTGAGTATCTTCCCTTTTCCCTGGCGGGAATTAGCCCAGAGCCTGGATGTCCACTGTTTTCACTGCCTCTGTAATGATTCTATTACACAGGAAGACACTTTTTTTCTCCTATCCATTCACTGTCTTTTTGTCTCCTGTGTAGTAGAAAATTGTTCAATATAAGTTCAACATAACATTGGTGGGGCCATCCATCTACCACCACCTAACCTGTCCTAGAGCGATCATTTCTGCCTTCATCTCCAGAATAGGGCCCTACTGCTCCCCTCACCTCCCTGCCCAGTGTTGGAAACCATGACCTTGTATCTGGCCTCAATTTCTCCTGCTTGATTGCGGATTGGGTCTTGCACTGATAGCAACTGCGTATTTGGAGCTGACAGACAGCAAAGTCAGCCATGGCCTCACTTGAGCAGCCTCCATCTCCTCCTATTCCTGGCAGGATCTATTTCTTTTTCTGAGGTCCCTGGGGCCTCTTCTTTAGGAGAGGTCCTCCAGCTTCCCTTCCTTCTGTCTGTGCATGGACACACACTGGGGCTCCCACTCAGCCTCACCCAATTAGGGATAACCTGCTGAGCCCGGATCACACAGGATGTCCAGCTCAGACATCCTGCCCCAGGCGGCAAGAACCCCGTGGGGTCTGCTGGGGAAGTGTGGGCCTGGTTTTGGGCTTGTCCACACGTTCAGAACCACGAAGTCCCATCATATCTTCCTAAAGCATCAAAGAGAGCCACTTATGCATCGTGCATGGTTTACACATTTAAGTGTCAATCTAGGACATTTAAAGAAACAAGTAGTTTGTTTGCTTCAATAAAGTAAAAGCATCTTAACATCTCTGTGGAATCCCAGTAAATTCTTTTTTTAGAGGAGAAAAAGGACTTCTGTAAAATTCTGCTAGCTTTGAGCCCCAAAGGTTAAAAACTCAGGTGGATGCAGTCAGCAAGGCAGGTGGGAGGGCCGAGCTGGACGAGGGATCAGCTTGATCATGCTGAATTCAGCCACATGTTTGAGTTTTCCAGGGTCAGGGAGATGCTGTGGGTGAGTATGGGTAATAATCCCAGCGACAAGGTTGCTGAGATTTGCAGAGGACTTAAAACTCTTGAAACTTGGTCTGTGCACATTTAATGTTCACAAATCCCCAGCGTGTCTGGTGGGCTAGGTAAGCAGTTGTTACACAGAATTCTCCTGCTATAGCCCAGGGAACTAGCTGCCAGTGACACGCCACCCACCTGGTGGGAGGGAGCGAGCAAAGCCACTGCTGCAGCACAGATAGGCCCTGCCCTCAGCCTGGCTACACAACATTGCTGTCAAAAGCTTATAATAAATACAAGAAGAGGCCCCTGGTGGGCTCAGCCCTGTGTGAAAGTGTCCCCAGTCTGGAGAGCTTGGAAGAGGAGCTGGCTCTGTGCAGGAGGTATCTGTGAGGGGAGGGAGGGAGAGCCTGGGAGGCAGAGAAGGCAGGGCTTGGGGGAAAGGGAGGGTCCAGGGCTGTGCCCAGGACCCCTGGGGCCCAGTGTTATGTGTTGGGCTGTAAAGCTCCTTCAGTTCTGCCCACAACAGCTCTCTGGTTTTTTCCTCTGTTTCCAGAACAAATTTAAGCCTGGGAGTCCCCAAGAAAGCCCGAGAGGACCCCCTGCCTGTGCCCTCAGACCAGCATTCACTCTCTTTCCTGTAGGTTGGTTCCAGCTGCTGAGATGATAAGGGTTTGTCCTCCATAGATCAAGATGGTGTTCTCTACCCAGCCTTGGAAGGAACTGGGGTGTGGGACCCTGCAGGGGGCAGTGGTTCTGAGCTACCCCTGCTCTACCCTAGTGCTCCCAATAGAATGAGTGGCTGGGTTTAGGGCTTGGGTAGTGGTCAGAGATGGAGCCAGGGACTGTGTCAGGGCTCAGCATGGCCCAGGGTTGACTTGGTCTTGGGCAGGAGAGAGGGCTGAGTGTTCATCTGGGGAAGGGCAGGGTTAGCCTGCCTTTCCCTGTGGGTCCAAGTTTACCACCGTGTGCAGCTCACTGGCTTCAGAAGGGGAAGGCTGAGGTTTCTGGGGCAGACACCCACTGTAAAGGGAAAGCCTCCACCTCCTGTCTTGGGGTGACCTAGTTTCATTTGCAGTGGGTCTCCTTTGCAGAAGATAAGCATCAGAAGCTACCGCTTGGACCTAGAGGGGGGAACCCCACCTGCACCCTGTGTCTGGGTTTCCTTAGCTCCATCAGAGAGGAAGGCTCAAGTCTCCCAAGATCCATACCACTATTCAAGGCAGCAGTGCAACCAGGAAGTTCAGGCTGGGGGCTTCCAGTTTATAGGGGTAGGTGTTTCATCTCCCACTTTCAAAGCATCCCCTACACACACACACACACACACACACACACACACACACACACACACACACACACCCCTAGGAACATCCCATCCTTGCAGTTCCTATGAGAGGTTGGCAGCAGGGAATTGTTATTTTGGAGATGGAGAAACTGAGGCTCAGAGAAGGACAGCACCTAAGATCAGCCAGAAAGTCAGTGGCCAAACAAAGCCTTGAGCTTGGATACCAGCTCCCCAGCTGGGACTGTTCCAGGCTGGCAGAAGGCACAGAGAGCTGGCTCATCCTGTCCTCGTAGTGGAAGAGAGGTGGTAGTGTCAGGGGAGCTCCCAAGACCCGTTTAGCCATCCTTCTGGCTGGGTTGGTAGTGTATAGGGGGTGCTTCTTGGGGACTGGGGAGGGTTCTGGGGTGCACAGCATCTCAGCATCGGGAAGGACCCTATGGCATCTATTCAGCCCAGACCCCGGTGTCCTGTGACCACTGAGGACCCAACGTGACACGGACCCAGCATCACAGAAGTCTCGGCTGCAGCCCAGCCAGCCTGCACACAGAGGTTAATGAAGCACTCACGGTGTGCAGCCTTGGTGTGCTGGGTCCCTGGCTGTTACCGGTAGATGTGAACTTCAAGTTCTAGGAATGGCTTTGACCTTCTTGCAAACTTATAGCAAAGCCAGGCCTGGAAGCCAAGGCTCTGGGGTGGGCTCACTTGCAGGGTGGGTGCTGTGTCTGCCACAGGAGTCTCCTGCCATCTGATTCTGGCGGCAGTAGTGACACCTTCAGCAGCCCCAGCCAATACCCTCTCTCGGCTGTTTCTTATCCTCCTTTGGGACCAACTCTGAATAATCTCAGTGGCCTGCCGAAGCTCATCTCTTCCTCTTGATAAAGTTCCTCTTCCCTTTTCACTAATTGTCCTGAGATTCCCCTGTCTCTGTCTTTCTCACGCTCCTGGCTCTGGCTGTGCTGCCACCGTCTTGTTCTATTTCTTTTCAGTGCATCCTTTCACACAGACATTGAAGGTCTGGGACAGGGCAGCATTTGGGGCCCCTTCCCCTTTCCCCTGAGAGCCCTCTGGGTCATCCTCCGCCTTCCTCTCCCCCCATTAGAGCCTCACATCTAGCAAACTCATCACTGAATGCTCTGTACAATACTTTCCAAAAAGTCTTTCAAAATATCAGAGGAGCCCTGTGTTTCCTGGAGAAATATCTTGGTTCCAGGAAGGGCAGGGACAGTTTTGGAGCTGAACATAACAGGGGTGTCACGGAACAGCTGAAGCTTAGACTTCAGAGTGAGGGCTTCAGCATGGCATGTAGGTGGCCTCTTGGGCATCTAGACCTCATTTCTGTGGCCTACCCCAGCTGAGGTTGAAGGGTCACTGGCCATAAGGAAATAATAAATGTGAAGTATGGAGTAGCTGCCATCTCTATATGCCTAATTGTGCTCTTTTAATGAACTAAAGAAAACATTCTTATTTGCATCTATCTATTTGTACCTAGAAAAAAGACCTCTGACATTCATTGAGGGTATATGAAAAATTCTCTGACACATGCGTATCTCTGAGGCTTCTCAAGCATTGACTGGTGTGTGCATTCCCCGAAGGTTCTTGTTAGAATCCAGGTTCTGAGCAAGTGGCAGGTTGGGTGACAACTGAGACTTTTGTTTTTGCAGTCTTGAGAATTGAATCCAGGGCCTTTGCATTGAGTTACATTCCCATGCCTTTCACATTTTTAATAATTTGTATTTTGGGGCAGAGTCTTGACATTAAGTTGCTAAGTTGCCCAGGCTGTTGAACTTGCGATCTTCCTCCCGAGCCTCCCAGAGTGCTGGGGTTACAGGTTTGATCACCATGCCCAGGTTAGAGTCTGTATTTCTAAGACATGCTCAGGCAGACCTGCTGCTGCTGCTCTGGGACCACTCTGAGTAGCAAAGCATCAAATCACAGCTCATGTTTCTCTCCTGCAAAGTAGGCCCATGGTGCTCACCTCACAGGCAGTGTGAATGGAAAGAAGCTTTGATTAAATGAGAACCACAAGCTAGAGGGGTGCAGATGCTGGCCTGGATCCTGAGGGTCTAATCTCTCCTTCGTATCTGCCTTCACTGACCTCTGATCTACTCCGGATGTAGCAGTCCTCCAGTCAGTTACTGGGAGCCTCAGTGTTACCTGGTACCTGAGGAGGGTTGGTGAAGGAGTAACTCCTGCAGCCTGAGATGCAGCAACTCTTATCCACCCCTGAAAAGTGTCAAGCATGGGCAGGAACACTTAGGGCCAGTAGAAGAGGGAGTCAGACTGAGGTTCCTGACAGATAAGGGGTGCCCTCTTCATGCCCAGCAGAGTGTGGAGCTAGACTGGTTGCCGGGGCCACCTCCTTAAGGTGACTTGTTTCTGCAGGCAAGCTCAGTGCCCGAATGGTGCTCTCTCAGTCCTCAGCTCCTGCCTTTGAGCTTTTATCCAAGCCAACCCAGGCCTGTCCACAGGATGCAAATGCCTGTGTCCTTCTGTCTAGTATGGTTGCTGCCAGCTACATGCAGCCATGAACCCTTAGGATGTGGTAGAACAACAGAGGAAGCAGAATTTAATTTGATTTAATTTGAATTCAAATAACCACATTTGGGTATTGGCTATCACATGGGATACTACAGGGCTAAGCTACAGTCAGTCCAGCTTACCTCTGCTCCCCTGTGTGCACTGACACATTGAGAAGAAGGTCTAGGAGGGAGGAGATAAGTGGGGAGAGGGGACAACTAAGGGACTTTGACAGCCAAGCCCAGAGCTCCGATGTGCCAGGCAGCATGTGAGGTCCTCAGTGTGTTTCCAGCTGTTCCTCTCACCTAGTGATCTCCAGTGAGTCCATGCCCTGAGCTAAGGGCTGACACTGGAGATGACCTCTGGCTCCTTGCTGAGCCCGACAGTGCCCACCTTCCACACATACATTCTGCTCCAAGCCCATTCACCTACCAATGGTCCCAATGCAAGTGCTTTTATGCGCGTGTGCAAACATGCACACACTTGTGCACGTCTAAGTGTGCATTTCTCTGTCCAGAGCTGACCATGTCTTAGCCCTCAGCTTCCTCCTCCTCCACATGACTGCCCTGGCCCTGCCTCCCCCTCCCCACTCCTCTGCCCGCCCTCAGTTCCTTCCTTGCCCGAGGCCCCCAGCTGACAGAAGTGCTAATCTTGTCACACCCAGCAGCTGCGTGCAGAAATGCTACTGCAAGCCACAGCGGGCTGAGCAGCACTCTTGCAAGATGTCAGAACTGTCCACCATTACTCTGTAAGTGTGTGTGGCCGTGGCTGTGGCCGGTGTTCTGGAGGGGAGGGGGACGCATGCTGTCACCACTGCCACCACCAGCTTATGCTTGTGTCCTGCTGGGTTGGAGGACATGGAACGTCATCTGTGCCTCCGGCCCGACCCCACTCCTCGGCTGTTGCATGCTGACGTCCGAGTGTCTTGTGAGTTCTCTGCAGTCCTTCGGTCCTGGGGTGGAAGGGTAGAGTGCGAGAATGGAGCTGCAGCCATTACAGGAGCATCCTGGGGCCTGGCCTGTGCTGAGGAAGCAACTGTGCAGTCTCTGGCAGTGCTGCCTGGTGTGTTGGCCCTCTCCAAAGTCCTGACTTCTCTGAGCTTTGATCTCTGCAATGGTAAAATTATTTCTAAAAGTGTAGACCTTGGATTTATAGAGAATGTCCCCTGTACAGGGCAGGGGACCTCACTCTGTTCAGAGCACTGTATGTGTGAGCTGGCAGCCACAGTGACCCTATGAGTTGGGTCCGTATATTGTGCCCATTTTACAGATGAGGAAACTGAAGTGCAGAGAGACAAATTGATTCCCTCCAGGCCACATAATTAGCAGGGTATGGATTGGAACCCAGAGAGTCCTAAGCACCATGCCCCAGGTCATATCTGACCAGAACGCCAACCCCCATTTGGGCATTCATTTTGAGTGGGGCACTGCCTCCCTGGCAGCCTGCCGAGCTCCTGTGATCATTGGGAGTTCTTCTTGGCATTTCAGGACTCCTCTACCTTGGGATGGGGCCTTGGGGGAGGAGGATGGAGGCGTTGGCCGGGCATTGCTGTTTCTCTAGGCTAACCAGATGGTAGAGTGGGGCTCACATGTTCCCATGCCAAGACGTACACAGCTCAGAACTGCACAAGTTCCAAACCCTGGGGCTCTAAAGACCTCCTTATCTGTCCCCTGTCCTGTCTGCCAAAGGGGTCCCTGAGTGCCTGAGTCTCCACCTGAAGTATCTGACCACCCCAGGGTTGCTGCAGGGCTTCGGGGAGGGGTGGTGCCCCAGGACTAGTCCACAGGATATGCTCAGTGCAGTCACCATGTCATCCTGTGGCTAGCAGGGGCCTGCACTCGTGCTCGAAAGGTCACTGTTTCTTACACTCTGAACCTGACCTGTCCAACACCACTGTGGAAAATGGAAAGGTTTGACACTGATTTCCAGGGCCCATTTCAGACTTCAAGGAAAAATATCCGGAGATGGTCCACTTGCGGGAGGCGAGTCAAGGGGGAGGAAGACAGGTTCCCCGGGTGTTTCAGGAGCACGCCCCTCAAGTATGTGTTAAAGTCAGTCCCCAGGCAGGACCACGGCAGGGCTCCCAGCAGAGCAAAGTGTGCTCACGGTTGGCCACTTTGCTCTTCTGACTTCTGTGCCTTCTACAGATACTCCCTGCTGCCTTCTTTTGCCAGGGCCCAAGCACACAGAGACTCCAAGCGCTCGTGCCTGTGTGATCCACTTACTCCTTCCTTCACGGAGCAAGCCTTTCCAGGGTCGGCTCTATGCCCAGATGTGCTTGCTGTGGGACATGACAGAGATAAACAAGGGGCTGCCTGATGTTTAGGGGCCATAGCCAGAAACAGATCAGAGGAAAGCTGAAAGGATGGCCCACCTCAGCTCAGAGCAGGGACTTGCTCAGCTCCCCTTGACCCTGCTTTGGTTCAGGAACCCCAGGGCCTGCAAAGGTGCTGCCTGTGAGCAGAGAGCAGGGAGGGGGCAGTGGACACCCCAGTGCCAGGCCCACTCCTTTCTGGGCTGAGCTTCCTCCTGCCAAAAGCTCTTCAGGCTCCGCCTCCTTCCTCTGTGTCTTCTCCCTTCCCTCTTTGCCTCCTCCTTACACCTGCCTCATCCTCTCTTATAGATGCCAGGATGTCAAGGCCTCACACAGAGTCTGTGAGTCTGGCTTCTCTAGAAATCTGGAGCCCATCACATTCAGTAGAATGTTCTCTCCCAGAAAGGCTGGGTTCAGGGAGAGGAGGGACTCACAGTGTAGTTGCCCCCGACCCAACAGCCACCCTGAAACCCTCCACCCACTTGAGCAGACCCAGTTTTGCCAGGAAAAGGTGAAGCTGATAGGCACAGCAGGATGGAGCTGGACTCTGGGGGGCCCCTCGGGAAGCCAGTGTGCTGGGGTGGGCGGTGATGGGGCCCCACCCTGAGACAGCCCCTGGGAGAGATCCTTCCCTCGGAGCAGCAACCAAAGGTGCACAGGCCCCTGATACCCTCACCATGGGCCCCCATGCCCCTGCACCCTCAGAACAGGGCCCAGCCCTGTTGGCCCAGGAATTCGGGGAGAGCTGGTCTCAGGAGGCCTGGTGGGGTTCCCTTCCTGTCCCAACCTAGAGCAGATATCCTTCTCTTCATTTGACTTGGTTTCCTAGGTGACAGCTTCCTTCTGCCCAGGTGGAGGTTTATGCCCAGAGTCAGTAAGCCCTTCCTAAGATCCCTTCCAAGTCTCCCTCTGTGGTCCGCCCAGTTCTCTCCCTCCACATCTTCATGTCTCCTGTTGCTCTCCCTGAGTATCCCCAGTTAGACCCAGACTCAGAAACCACTGTCTCTGTAGCCCTTAGGGGCAGCCCTTTTTGGGAACATAGAGCTTCCTTCCGGGCAGGAGGAGGTTTGCTTTGCCTCAAGCCTCCTGAACCCTATCCTGAGTTTTGCCCTGACTTTATCTTCCTGAGGGTTTAGCACATCACACAGGAGTCCTTATAAATTGCATGTACATTTTTGATGAATCTGCTGGATACTGAGTGGGTGCCCTTCAGATTGGGAGGGTACTCCTAATATCCCTGGAAACCAGTTGAGAAGGCTGAGCAGGTCTGTGGTCAGGGCATCTGGGGAATGAGAGGGTTGGAACCACATTTTCTGCCTTGCTGACTCTGCTCCCGACCCCTGGCAACCCCCGGAGCAGATGTCTTGCTTTTCTTCCAACAGACGGCTAGCCCGATCCACGTTGCTGCTCATTCCATTGTTTGGAATCCACTACACAGTATTTGCCTTCTCCCCAGAGCACGTCAGCAAGAGGGAGAGACTCGTGTTCGAGCTGGGGCTGGGCTCCTTCCAGGTAGGCATGGTACATGCAGGGCAGAGCTCCCCATTAGCCAGGGCCTGACCTCTGACTTGCTGGTGGCTCTGGAACATTTTTAACCGTAGCTCTGGGCCTCAGTGTTTCTGTCTCTGAAATGAGTACCAGCACAGGAGTGTGCTTAGAGGGCTCTGTCTGCAGCTGTAAGGTGACACATGAGTGTCTCGCTGTCATTGTGGACCCTGAGCCAGGCCCCTTTGAGTGATCTGAGATGACAGTTCCCCAGTGGCCTGGGCTTCGGGATGGATGGCTTTGAGAGCCCTGTGTGTCCACATCCGGACTTCAGCCTGCTAGACCCTCCACCTCCTGAGGGCTGGAGTTCTGCCTCACTCAGTTAGGGTCCCTGGCACAGGGTTCTAGCACAGGACCTGGCCACAGGACCAAGGCTGAATGACACAGCAGGTGCAGATGCCAGGGAGCAAGAGGCTGAGGGGGTGGGTGAGGGAGGAATGAGTCAGTGGGTTTGTAAGCAAGTGAGTGAATCACAGTGGGAAATGAGCAGATGCAAGGAGCAGTGGACTCTGAAAGGAGCCATGTCTCCCTGGGTGTCCTCTTCCAAGTGACCTGTTCAAAGTAGCACATGAGCTTGATGGTCAGGAAGTTACTCTCTGCGTCTGACTTGCATCTCCCTCTGGCCCAGTTTAATTCAAGGACTTTTTACCTGGTTCAGGTGCTTAGCCTGGTGAGCCTGGGAGTTTCAGAGACAGCGTTCTGACCCGAGAATCAGAACCCAGAGCTTTGCTTGTGGTGCTTGCCGGGTCTCCCAGCCGTCATTCCTCACATAGTTGCACTGACAGCCCCTCAGCCTGGGCACTGTGAGGAATGGCTTGGCAGTGTTCAGGAAAATGTGCTTTCTCTGTGCCCATGTGCACCAGCTAAATTCCCACTCTGTGCCAAGTGCTCCTCCACATGGATGTACAGGAGCGTGTATCCGTGAGTGGGAGGATGGTGATAGCAAGGGATGCCGCAAGTCTGTTCTGTTCTGGAGACATCCTGTGCTCAGGAGCCTATAGACGAGTTGGAGAGCTCGGAGGAAATTCCGGAGCATTCAAAGAAGGCTTCTTATTGAACATAGGACAGAGCTGGCCTTTGACAATGGGAAAAATTTGACAAAGGTATATCCAAAGCCACCTGGCTTCACAGGTGTGCCTGTCTTGATGGAGCAGAACAGCATGTGTCCCATCATACTCCACATCCCTGGGCAGTGCCCTAGACCAGGTCACCGTACTTTTGTGCTTCCTGGTGTCATCCCCAACACCCGCTCTTCCCACATGCCCAGGCACACAGCACTCAGAATGTCCTTCGCCAGCATGCTCAGGTTTGCCTTTTCTCTCTCCCCAGGGCTTTGTGGTGGCTATTCTCTACTGTTTCCTGAATGGAGAGGTAAGACTCTGGCTCTCCAGCTTTTCAGCAGTAGAGGTGGGGCTTACTGAGGCAGATTCCTCTGAGGAAGGGAGTGCCAAGCTCCTAGTACTGGCAGGAGAGGGCTGGTAATGCATCTGCCAGTGACCATGTGGTAGCAGGTAACATGTGGTACCACGATCTCCTGACAGTCTGTCTGTGCCAGACTCTCTCCCACTGTGCAGCTGAGGCCCAGAATGCAGCCCAGAGCCCCACCAACAAAGCCACCTGCTCTGCTGCTCACAGAGCTCTGAGAGAGCATTCTCTCCATGAACCACACCTCAGTGACCGGAGGTGACAGTGAGGGAGAGGAACAGACAGGGATGCCTGTGGGTCAGAAGATGTAATAGGCAGGACTGCTGAGTTGGGGCTGCCTAGTGCTCAGTGCTGGATCCCGCAGGCCCACCTGCCTGGCCCAAACATGTTCCCCGGTACAGCAGGGACTGTGAAGATCTGGAAGAGACCCCAGGGAAAGACCTGGAGCCTTCCTATAGTGTTCCATTTCCAGAGCTATAGTTTTGGGCTCCCTCTCTAGCCTGTTGGGGTGATGCTCTTGAGCAGAGCCTAGAACAGAGGTGCTGGGGCAGGGAAAGGACTAGATGGGTAACCTGGGCTTGGGGAGTAGACAAGAGTAATGACACTCAGGTTTTTGCTGCATGATTGTGACCTCAGTAGTCTCCTTTTTTGCATCTGAGAAACAAGCTAGGGCTTGGTGATCATCAGGACAATCTACAGCAAGTGTCCTTTTAGGACAGATGAGGAGAGGCACAAAGGGCCCCGCATGAGGGGCTGGGAGAGCCAAGAGGTAGGAGTATGTGTAGCTTGTGAAGAGCCTGCAGTGGAGGTGGGAGTTGGAAGTAGAGAGTGGCTGGGGCTCCGTTTCCAGTGGTGCAGTTTGTGCATTGCAGGGCAGATAGGGACAGAGACTCGCTTGGCACAGCCCCCACTCACCAAGCTAAGAGCCACACAGTGATGTGTTTGCCCAGAGAGAAATGATCTCATGGATCTCAACCTTGCCTACCCATTGGAATTATCTAGAAAGTTTTAAAGTCTATGGATGTCTGGTTCTTACCTGGATACATGGATGTAATTGCTCATATGGTCTGGGCATCTGGAATTTTTAATGCTCCCGAGGTGATTCTTAAGTGCAGCTCACTGTTAATGGTTAGTGAGAGTAGGAGTCCTCACCCTGGTCCCTGTGCCCTGAGGGGCTGCTTATTAAAGATACCAGTGCGACCAGACAGCCTACCCTCCGAGGGGCTCACATCAAACAGGAAGCCGTTGTCCACAGACCTTGCCCAGACAGCGACTTGGGAGCAGCTGTAGGCTGCACTTTGGGAGGAGTGAGGGGTGGAAGGGGCAGTGGCCTGGGATTGGGAGGCCTCAGGCTGTGTAAGGCTGATCACTGGAGAGGATGTCCACCCAGAAGTCACAGCCCAATTGCTCCCTGCAGGTGCAGGCAGAGATCAAGCGGAAATGGCGGAGCTGGAAGGTGAACCGCTACTTCACCATGGACTTCAAGCACCGGCATCCATCCCTGGCCAGCAGTGGGGTGAATGGGGGAACCCAGCTCTCCATCCTGAGCAAGAGTAGCTCCCAGCTCCGCATGTCCACCCTTCCAGCTGACAACCTGGCCACCTGAGCCCTGCTGCCCTCTCCTCCTGCACAGGCCGGGGCTGCAGGCAGGTGTCTGCAGCGCATGTTTGAGCCTCTTCTCCCTCCCCTTGGGCAGGTCCTAGCAGGAGCTCGGCTCCTCCTCAAGGGGGAGAAGGAGGGAGGGCACAATCTGCTACCGTCCCCCCCGTTTTGGTACTGGCCCCACCCATCACTGTCCCCTGGACCCTGACTTGACATGTAAATACCCCTCAGATTTGGAAGTCTGTCCATCCTTGCTTCTCTCACCTCAGCCAGGCTCCAGCTCCACCCCAACGTCTGGCCAGCCTCAGCAATGGTCTGACCCCAGGCGTGAGGCCTTGTGAGCTGAGGCTGGAAGGACCCTGCTCTGGAGAGTTTGGGGTGGTGCCTGCTATGGCAGCCCCCTCATGTCTGACTTCAGATGTGGGCCCTTCTCAGGCCTGGGCTCAGCGTTACAGTGTCCTAGCTCCTGTGTGCCAGGGCAATGGGACAGCTCCAGGGCTTTTTCAGTCAGAGACTTCAGTTGTGGGGTGGGAGCTGAGGGTCAGGGAAAGTTCTGGTGCTTTTCATTTGATCCAAGAAGAACTGAGAGCCAGAAATGTGAGTAGGACTGGGAAGGAGATGGAAGAGTTTGGGAGAGCCATGGAAGAAGACCTTCACCATCTCTGTTGTTCTACCCCTGACTCAAAATGGTCATGGTTCATCTGGTAGCTACCATTCTACCCCTGCTGTCCCCAAGGGATATCCCAGAGAAGCTGCTCCCCAATCACCCCTTACCATGGAGAGTCTAGGTCTCTGACCCATTTCCCCTTAAGTCAAAGCCATGACTAGAATGAACCAGCTGCCTTCTTGTGATGTCAGCGAGTCTAGAAGCACCTTGCACCTCCATATGCCTAAGTCCCTGGCCTTCACCCTCCACCTTCATGGATGATGAGCCCCAGATGCTAGTTCTTCCGGCCTGGACTCAGCTACTGAACTTTCTCAGATACTTCTGCAAAGACTTCCTTGAGTGCCCTTGGCATTGGATCCTTGCAGGCTGCTAGGATGTCCTTAGGGGATGACTCACCCACCATGTCCGTTAGCAGAAGCTGCTGATGGGTGGAGTGGCTACTCCCCAACATCCATCCTGGCTCCCAGCTGCAGGTTGCACAGCTATGGACTAAGAATTTAAAAGCAGGTAAACATCAGGCTCTGGAAGGCAGAGGAAAGTGCTGGTGTGCCATGGCCCATGTGCCCTAGTTCATTCCATCAGCTCTTGGTCTTGTTCATGTCTGTATGTTTGAGGACTTGCTTCATGATCCTTTTGTGGAGTGCTTGGGGAGTTTGGTAGAGGGAGGTTTTGCTTTGCTGAGTTTCATAAAGAGGAAGGAGCCCTGGGAACATGAGATGGTGTTTCAGGAGAGGCCTGCAGAGTGACTGGCTAGGGCTATGGTCACTCTTCTTAGAGATGAGTCCTGTGACCTTGGCAATGAAGTAAGGCCCATAAAGCCAAGTGGAGAAAGGACCCACTGCTTTCCGGGCACGTGTAATGACTCTGGCCACAGGGTGGGCAGTGGCCCTTCCACCCTGCACCTGACCTTATCATCCCCTCCCCTTCCCTAGGGGCCATGTGTATTACACAAGCAAGTATCTGCTGACCTTGCACTCGAGACACTGCTGGGAAGGAGCAGTGGCCTAGGATTCAGAGACCTAGAGTCTGCTCCAGTTGGGTGTAGAATACTATGATTATGAACATGATGCTCCCTTTTGGGCCTCCATTTCCCGTCTTGTGAAATGAGGTGGCTTCTGTTCCTTCTCCAGGCTCTGTGCTCAGCAGTCTTCCACTCCAAAACTAAGGCAGGTAGATGGGCATGCACCAATGTGTGTATCATCTAAGGTTTTGGGGTGTGTGTGTGTGTGTGTGTGTGTGTGTAAGTAAGTAAGGTGGAGAATGCTGTTTATTTTCCTTTTCGTAGGAACCAAACTCCTCTGTCTTCTGTTTGTACACCACAGTAGTAGCTGGCATCCTAGAGGGAAGGCTCAGGCCAGGGACAGTTGAAGAGGTGCCTTAGGCATGATGTGGTGACTCATCCCTCTCTACCTGGGGTGGGTACCATGACTGGTATCCAAGCAGTCCACTGGCCATGGACCGCATTCATTTGCCCTCACCCCACCATCAGGTCTGCTTCACTGTGGAAGAAGAAACTGTGACTTTATAGATATATAATCGCAAAGCAGCAAAAACAAAACCTACCCCGAGTCCCATGTCCTGAACTGTTTCCTGAGCCTTGGGCCTGAGTCCTCCTAGAGGTTTAGGCTCCTATTGGTTGTTTTTCTAACAAAGCTTTTTGCCAGTCTTATGAGCAGATGTCCATAATGTACTCTGAATGTCCCAGGAAATTCTGGCTTTCAGGGAAACATGCCGTGGGGAACAGCATGAGGTGTGGGCAAAACCTTTCCCTCTCTGACCCTCTGTTTTCAAATCTGTACAATGGGCAATAAGATTAGATGATTTGTATGTAGCCCAGTGCATCCCTAGAACCCTCTGTCTAAACACCAGCCACCCACTGGGAATGAGCCCTGGGAAGGATTGACTGAGGAAGGGTAAGAAGCTGCTGTGTGAAGAGGCCTTAGGTACTTGGCAAAGCTAAGGCTGGAGAGGAGTGACGCACTGGAACTCCATGCCCTGGAGGATCATTTCTGGGAAGGCTCTTGTTCTATGCAGTCCTAAAGGACGGACCTCACCCACCACAGGAGACTGTGACCTCTCCTTGGAATAAGGAGGCATATAGTTCCCTGTCATGACCGTCTAGCTATGGGAGTGGCAGGCAGTGTGTGGAGAGGGTCTCTAGTCCTAAGGGAAGTAGGGCTATAGGTCAGGGAATCTGAAGCCTCCGGTGAGCCAATGAAGGGTCAGAGTGGGATTTGGGAGGTTCAGCCCTCTTGTGGTCCCAGTACTGTGAGCCTCATGACTCACCCCCAACTTGAAGCCAGACTGTATTCTCTATGGGCAGCACTGTGAGCCTTCTTGACCTGTCCAGCAGCCACAGTGATTCCGTCTCTTACCCTGTCTTCTCTGAACCGGGTTCTTAGGCACTAGAGTGAGGGAGCCCAAGCTGGGCCCAAAGCTGGAAATTTACCTGTGTCTCTTGTCACTCACCAAAGCCTCAGCCTCTTGATGTGCCCCTCTCTTCTGTGAGGAAAGGCTGGAAGAGGCTGTCTCTTTAATTCTTTGAGAACCCTTACGTCCTTCAGGGCCACTCGCAAGAGAAAGCAATGAGTACTTCGTCACCCTCACCTCCCACCTGAGCCTAGGAAACTTAGAAACCGGCTGGAGGAGCCCAAGCAGGGATCTGGGGCCTGGACTTAGCCCAGCGTTGCCACTGACCTGCTGTTTGATCTTGACTCATCCCCTATGCATCTTTGGGGAGAGTCACAAAATGCTACAGCTGGGAGAAACTTAAGACCTCCTCCTTGGGCTGATAAGGAAACACAAGTGAGCCCAGCATAAATCTGGATGAGGAAATGGCTCCCCCAATATGTGCACAGCCCTGTACAGGACCAGGACAGCATCCATAGAATTAACGCTCCTCCTTGTGCAAAAGACAGATTCTGGCTATGGAAGGTTGTCGGGACTTCAGACTGTAGAAGTAATGGAGTCAGCATGGTATGGGAAAACCTGTTCTCTAACCTGGGCTTCACCACCTGCTCTGTGACCCCAGGCTCACCTTCTCCGGCATCTGCCTCCCAGTCTGAGAAATACGGAGGATATGATTGCATCATCTGTCCTACAGGCCAACATGAAGTTGAAGTGCGAGAAAGAACTTTGGAAACAACACAGATGTGGGCTCGTTGCTGGGCAAAGGCTCCCTGAAAGGGACTCCTTGCTGTTTGTCTACTGCTTTGAGCCCTTCTGGATTAACCTTTACTCCATCTGTAAAACCACCAGCACTGGGGGTAAGGGGACAGCCAGAGGGCTCTGGTGGCAGAGTTCCAGCTTTGTCTTCATCAGTTTGTCCATCATCAGTTTGTTTCTAGATTAGAATGGAGAGAATTCCACTTGGTTGTGGTGAGCGTTGCCATGCTACCTTCCTGGGAATCCTTTAAGGACTTGGGACATTCCTCAGATGGGCAGCATGCCCATTCCTTCTTCTTTCCCCAAACTCCAGGTCCTGGGATGTGTCTGCCCTTGTCCATGTGCGTCTCGTCTGACGTCTGTGTTCTGTGGCTTTGCATCTGTCAGGCTGGGGTGGTTGGTGCAGCCCCCAGCATCCCAGACATGGCTCCCAGCTCATTCATGAGAGCTGGACCACCTGGATTTCATTTCCCACAATAAAGATGAGCCCCCAGACCTTACTTCCCCCACTGCCACCACTAATGCTGTGCTCACAATCTTGTCCAGGATTTTAAGGATGTCAAATTGCTGTAGATGACTCAATAAATGTCTTACTATTTTTCCTGAAGGCTGTAAACTGGTGAAAGTGGAGGGCAGGGGAGGAGTAGAGGCAGAAGGGATGGGGTCTGCTTGTAAATCTGATTGCTCCAGAGTAGTTCCATTTGCAAGGTTTTGCGGCCTTTTGGATTCCAAGGGTAGGTATTAGAATGGGTTCAAATAGGTTAAAAGGGACTTGGAAAGGCAAAGAAGTCTTGGCTTCTAAAGGATCTTCATATACCTTGAATGGTATGGGAACACTTGGAAGTCTTGAGTGTGTGGAAATGAAGCAAATCATCCTATAGTCCACCCTATAGTCTTTAATGCCTCATGACTTTCACCTTGTTCTGTGGGAGTGGCACCAGATAGCCCAAAAGCTCACCTGGAAAGCAAATTTTGGCCCAGGTAGCCACAGGTATGTCTTTGGCTGCCAGAGTCCCATCCTCTAAAGCTGTTGGAAAGTCAGAGCTATCAGTCCCTGCCAGATCATCAATCCAGGTGACCATCATTTCCCTGAGGTTCTCACAATACTAGTGCCCATTTTTATATCAGTTATAACTTGGTGTGTGTGTTGTACTGGAGATTGAACCCAGCTCTTCAGACTGAGCTACATCCCCATCTCTTTTTAAGTTTTTATTTTGAGACAAGGTCTTGCTGTTGCTAAGTGACTAGGCTGGGCTTGAACTTTCATCTGTTTGCCTCAGCCATCCAGACTACTGAGATTACAGGCATGCATCACGGCACCCAGCTGCAGGCACAATTTTTAGTTACTAGCCACAGAAGATAATTTGTGCTGATATATCAGAAAAGGAGTCCATGAAAAAGATGTTAGGCAGCTCATAGAATTCTTGTCAGGCTGGAAGAGCCAGAAAATATAGATGTAGCCATATGTCATGTCACAAAATGGATGGCAGAAAGGATGTCACTGGTTCTGCCACCAGCCCAGCAATATCTATTTTGTGCCAGGGACTTGATATCACATTTACCACCATCTCAGAAGCAGACTGTTTTGCTTCCATTCTCACCCACAAATCAGATCCCACACACAGTCCCCTCCTCCAGTTGCTCATTTCTGATTTCAGTCTCACGTGACGTCGAAGTGATGTATTCTACCTGCATGGAAGACTGGAAATTGTACTGTCCTGGGATTCTGCATTAGGGAGGTCAGGCTCACAAGTCTGCAGCTTTTCTAAGCATTTCAATAGTATTAAAATGTCCTAGGAATAATAAATGTCCACCACAACAGTCCCAAGGTCCACTGCAGTTGGAGAGATCGCACTCTCCAAGTGATCAGGTGGGCCACTCTGAATTTAAGGAGTTAAATTAATGAAAAGATGAACCCTAACTGAATAGGCTGCTATGAGCCCTACAGGTGGAAAGGTCAGACACTTGCTAATGCCCGTAGGTGTTTAGAGGGGATAGCCCAAGCTGCAAGGCTGTGTGGTTTTACTTCCTGTGGCTGCACCTGCTTTTCCTCCAGAGATTAACAGGCTCTGTCATGTGACTCATCAGATACCTTGAGCTGCTTCCAAGATGGAACCTACCCTTAAATTACCCTAAAAATGTTTTCCTTGTGTGTCAGACTCTGCTGGCTGCTTCTAGAGAAGACTTCTCTAGTGTTTAGACAAATGTTATTCTTACTGATGTGCCTGTGATGAACTGCAATTCCATATGTTTCATTCTTAGAAAGAGGTCACATTCAAGAAGCAAAGGTCAAGAGCCAGAAGTAAGTGGAAAGTCTTGAGTTCCACATGAAGTTCCATATGGATTCCTTGGCAGCTGTGAAGATAAATCAAAGTCTGTGCAAGTTAACTCCTGTTTTCTGTGTACTCCCCAATCCCAAGTAACTAGTCTAGCTCTCTTTTATCCAAAGCCCCTTTAATGAATGCCTTAAACCCTGATTCTTCTTAATAATAATATTTGCCCTGGGTAATGGTAGTGATAATAATAAGTGTAAATAATTCTTCCTGGGAACCCAGTGACTCAAGCTTTAGCTGTATCAGAACCACCTAAGTGGTTGTTAAAACATAGATTGTGGGCTGGGGATGTAGATCAGTAAGAGCACTTGCCTCGCCTGCATGAAGTGCTGGTTTCCATCCCTAGCACTGCTGAGAAGGAAAACACAGATTGCTGAACTCACTGTCAGCATTTCTGATCCAGTAGGTCTGAGGCAGGACTTAGCAGTTTGCATATCTAAAAAGTCCTCAGGTGCTTCTGCTGCTGCTGCTGGAGACGCCATTTTAAGAACCACTGCTCTAGCGGTCCTACCTGAATACGCTGACTGAGCATCCCAGCTCCTGTATGTGAACTCGGACCTGAGCAGTGGTTCACTCCCTAGGAGGCAGATGACAAACGCAGCCATTAACAGTGTGAGCTTTAGTTTACTTTTCCTCCAGGTCACTGTTTTAGGATTAGGAGGCAAAAACGTCCAAGAGAAAATCAGCCTATCAGTGTGTATTCTCAATCAAAGTAAGTATCTTTGAGCTCTTTGATCAAGAATCCAAACAAGGGGCTGGGGATTTAGCTCAGTGGTTTCGCCTCCTGCTGCTCAAGCACAGGGACCCGAGTTTGATCCCCAATACCAAAAACAAAAAACAAAAAACCAGGATCCAAACAATCTTGAATCTCTGAATTTTTCAACCATCTCTGAATCAATTAGTATCAAGGTCAGTGGGATGTAACAGCAACCCCTCTCCACCCAAAAGTGGCTTACAAAAGACAGAAGTTTATTTTTCTCATATTAATGCTCAGAGTCAGACAACGCAGAGCTGTCACTGTAGCTTTGTGGTCTCTCAAAGACACTTTTGTCTTCCACCCTTAGCATGTGAGTCCCAATCCTAAGTTCAACTTATGGTCCAGGATGTTTCCTAGAGCTTTGGATGCTAGACTAGACTCAGAGTGAAAGGGAGGAAGGCTCTCTTCCTGCTCAAGTCATCAACTTTTAAGAAGCTTTAGATTTTCTGAAATCTCATTGGTCAATATTTAGTCATCTGGCCACAGCTTGCTTCAAGGCAGCCAGTAACACCAGAAGTTTCACCACCAGAAGTAACACCAGAAGTAACACCAGAAGCAAACAGTAGTTTCTGTCAATATCTCAAATCCCCAAATCTTTGGGCTGTCGCATGGTGCCACTGACTGAGCTCATCCCATATCTTTGAAAACAGGCTGGCTGTGTGCCCCACTGCATTGGAAACAAACTAGGGGACACTGTCTCCAACCTGAACCATAGGAGGACCCTGGAGGGTCCCTTGATTAGAATTTGGGGAGTAGTTATTCTCATCCATGAAACCTAGTCCGGTTTCAAGGGCTGAGGGTACATCTGCATCATTCTGGTTTCCTCCATCCTTTGGACTCTCTTTCATGGCTACATTTCCAGAGTGCCTTTGAGACTTCTACATTAATTGATCTCTTTATAATTTGGGAGAATCTTTAGAAATAAGTTATTTTGAGGGAGAGATGAGGGTCTTGTAATTCATGATTGTCAGTTATCCTCAGGTGACCTCATTGTAGAAGCTTCTGATGCTCCCTGGTGGGCCACACACATAGTGGCTCAGATGTGTACACAAAGACAACCCCTGCCCCCAATAATCTCACTAGATTACAAATTCAACATGGGAAACTCATCACCAAAAGCTTTTCCATACACATGTCCCAGGTCAGAGAGGGAGTCTTTAGCTGGTGGCAGACTGGGATGTTGAGTTCAGAAACAACCTTTATGTTGCTCGGGTTTATCTTTACACCTATGTAGAGATCATTTTCATTGGCTTCATCATAGTTCTTTCCTGATTTCTATAAAGGAAAGGTTTAGAAATGTCAGTCTTTTTAGAAGGGGGACAGTGACAATAGGGTATGTGGCTTTGTTTATTCAACAGCGATTTATTAAGCAAGTACTGCTTGTTTAACAAGCACTCACAGGTGTCTACTGTGTAGTGGGAGCTGCTCTTGAGCTCTGGTGAGTATCTCGAGAGAGCTCCCAGCTCTTGTGGCCTACATTGTCCTGGGCAGAGTAGATAATAAGGGAAGGAAGGAAGGAAGGATGGAAGGAAGAAAAAAAGAAGGATGTGACTTTAGATTGGGGCAAATGTTATGGGGGAAAATAAAGCACTTAGTGAGTGGAGCATGTTGAGGGCAGGGAGCTGATTTAGGTGGGGCAGCCTGGAAAGGCCTGAGATGCAGGCATCTAAGGGCTTCAACATCCTGGGCCTTCCAGCCCCACCAACCATCTGTGGGGCTCAGCAAATACTTGTGGTGGGAGATCTCAGGTAGAGAAGCCACCAAGAGTGAATGTCCTGAGATACAAAACAAGCCAACATATTCTCTGTGTCAGTTCCCATAGCAAATTACTACAAACTGGTGGCTTCAGACAAACAAAATCTATTCTTTCACAATTCTGGAGACCAGCCGTCTAACATGAAGATGTTGCCTGGGACATGTTCTTTTAAAAAACTCTAGAGGAGAGTGTTCCATGCCCTTCTTTTAGCTTTTAGTCTTGGGAATTTTGGCATTCCTTGGTTTACAGATGCAGTACGACAATACTTGGGCATTACATATTTTTTTCTAGGTGTCTTGTTTTTGTCTTCTACTCTACTCTTCTTTATAAAGAAACCAGTTATATTTCATTTCGGATCCACTCTGATTCATTATGACCTCAATTAATTACATATGCAAGGACCCTACTTCCAAAGCAGACCCGGTTCATGGATACTCAGAATTAGGATTTCAATGTATCTTTTGTATCTTTTGGGGAAACAACTTAATCCGCAACAAAGGGCAAGGAAGTTTTCTCCACTGATTAAGCTGGCTCGCTGTGTTTACTTGTACTATTGACTTGGAAGAGGTGAGGGGATGAAGCTGAAGATAAATATTTGGAGCAAGAGGGGTTAAAGCCTCTCACACACGGTCATTATCAGTCATTTTATTTTTTATCAGTCATCTTGTTTTTTAAGTAAGTATTTTTTAGGTAAAAACAATAAAATGATGAGATCCCACTGCCTGCCTGAATCACAAGTCCCACAGCAGCATTGAAATCCT